GAAGAAAATCTTATCTTCCATTTTACTCCTCTTGTCTTCATCTCTTTATATTTATATTGCCAAAAGCTTGATTTTATAACACATGAGAATTTATGAAGATTATAAGAAAAGTAATTTAAAAAGTCTAGTAACTTTATATATTGTCACCAAACGAAATTCAATGAAAAAATCTCTGTGTGTACTTATTACCTGATAATTTTAAAATTCTTAACTAAATTATTTGAAAATTTTAAATAATTTTTTAAATAAAAAATATTTAGATAAATCTGTATGATTGACAAAAAAAATTGGTAAGAAAGAGAAAAATTATTATTATTATTAACTTTTTCTAATTTTATTTTTATTTTTTATTTTTTTATTTTATTTTATATTATATTATATTATATTATATTATATTATAACTTTTCATACAATTAAACATCAATAAATAAATTAATAATTAATTGAATTTACCTATTTAATTCATAGTATACATATTATATGAGATTAATACACTGATAAATAAAGATAAAAAATTTATTTTTTATAAATATTATTCACTTACTATTTTCTTTTAAAAAAAGATATTGTAAGTATATATGGATTTCAAAGCACCCAAATAATTATTTTTTAATAATTAATCGACCTTTAATATTATTGATTTATTATACAATTTATGATTAATTGAAGTAAAATTAGCGTTCATGAGTGATTTGTATATCAATATTTTTTGAATGTATGTGTTTATAAGTATTTAAAATTGATGAGCTTATAGTACGTTTTAAAAACGCATTCTGCATAACATAAAAAAATAAAAAGTTTAATTATGATAAAAGATTTTAAGTATGAAAACTTATTCTTAATAAATTAATTTAAAAAATTTAAAACAATATGATCATTATTTTAGTTTCATGAATTAAATTAGTCTATTATTAAAAAGAGATTTTAATGACGTGTCATGCCAACTAGGAGAGAGTGATGTTTTTGAATTGTCAAATATATTTGGAGGAAATAGTAATAGTTGTGTGATATTTTGGTCTTAAATAAAACATAAATGATATTTTAAGACAATTTTCTTAACTTGTGTGACCATTTAAAAAATTGACTCATCATAGTAATTATAAATAAAAGACTTAAATTGGACCAAAACACCCTTTGAATATGTTTAGGTCCATAACCATCATCCCATTAGTCTTCTTAGGAAAATTACACGAAATGACAAATATTCATTATATGTTATGCTTTATAAATATAGTTTCGTATATTTATGATTCACACCTACAATTCTTAAATTTTGCTATTTGATTTCTAATTATGAAAAATTAGAATTTGTATACCTCAATTCCTAATTGTATATATTCAAATTTTGTATATATATACTATAGTTATTTGTATACAATTTGTTGATATATTTGATTTGTACGAGTTATGAAAAATTTATAATAAAATATCATATTTGTATTTTATATTTTAGCAAGCAAAAATATACATAAAGTTTTGAAAACTCTTATGGCAAAGCGAAATATACAAACAAATTTCTGAATAATTCCTAAATATTTAAATACAAAATGTTTGTATTTATCCTATTTATATATTAGAAGCGAACTGTATAAACAAAAATATCAATAACAAATAATAGCTATAAAACATAATTAAATTTAATCTTTGTACTATTTATGAAATTCTCGTCTCTAATTATGTCCGTGTAAGCATGATCAACGAAGTTATAAATCAAGCTTTATCTTTTTACTATTTTCCATCTATTTAAACTACTTTTTGTGTCTTTATTATATAATAATAATAATAATAATGAGTATAATAATATACCATAGCCAAATTTTGGGGCAAAAAGATATTTGTTCCATCGTATATATTATACAATATTCTTACTAATTATGTCATATATTATTGTCTTAATTAGAAATTTTCCTTAATAATTATGTCATATGTTAGATATTGCATTAATTTCCAAATTACTCCTTCTCTCAATTTATATTGTACTTTTCTTTTTAAACCGTAAAAAAAAGAACATATTTATAATTAGTAATTATTTAATTTTAAAATTTTAAATTATATCCTTAATGAAAATAATTTAAAGACACAAACATCTCAAACTTATTTCATAACATAAAATTGTGATTAACTCCTTAGTGATATTTAAGGAAGACATATTTGATTTACGCCAAAAAAGGAAATAGTATTACTCAATACTCTTATAAATTTAATTAGAGTATAACTAGGATTCTAATTTTCTTTTTAATGTCTTTTCCTATATCTTAATTTGAATGTTTATAAAGAATTGACTATTCACACAATTTAAATTCAAATTAAATTACATCATATAAATTAATATCGGAGTAATAATTTTCCTATCATCACTCATTCTCCTTTTATATACATAGCAACAAAACATACCTTTTTAATATATTTTCTCCTCTTCTCATGGATCTCCCACCACTTTCTCATCTACAAGAAAACAACAAGAATAATAATTTCTTGTTAAAATTTGTAAAGAAATATATGTATCATGTATTATTTTTTCTATTTTTATTCTTTTCTTCTATTCTTTTCTACAATTTACTAAGCCCACTTTATCATGACCCTCTTGTAATTAGCAATATTGGTTTTTTTGCCAAAAATTCTACTTGTGATTACTCTTATGGAAAATGGATTTGGGATGAAAAATATGTTGTTGATCAATATAATGAGAATTGTCCATTCTTGGATCCCGGTTTCCGGTGCCGGAAAAGTGGTCGCCGGGATATGGATTACCGGAAGTGGCGATGGCAACCTCAACATTGTCATCTTCCAAGGTAATAATATTAAGTTTGTTTGAAAATATTTTATTTTAGGTTAATTACTATTTGCATATATGTTCCATGCTTTATTATATTCATTTTTAAAGAATACCTTATTTTTTTTCTCTTTCTTGTATTGTTTTCTTTGTTATAATCGTAATGTCACATTGACTAATTCCACATAGTAGGGTGACCAGTTGAACACCATTTGTTATACCTTTACCACAAGATAGTACTTTATCTGAAGGGTGATCAATTGAATATCCTTTGTCATACCTTGACTAGTTAAACAAGATAATGACGTACATGTAGTAAAGGGTGACCAGATACTTGTGTACATGTAGTAAAGGAGGGTGATCAGTTGAATACCCTTTGTCATACCTTGACTAGTTAAACAAGATAATGGCGTACATGTAGTAAAGGGTGACCAGATACTTGTGTACATGTAGTAAAGGAGGGTGATAAGTTGAATACCCTTTGTCATACCTTGACTAGTTCCACAAGATAGTGGCGTACATGTAGTGAAGGGTGATCAGTTGAATACCCTTTGTCAAACCTTGACTAGTTCCACAAGATAATGGTGTACATGTAGTAAAGGGTGACCAGATAGTGGCTTACATGTAGTAAAGGGTGACCAGTTAAACACCCTTTGTCATAACTTGACTAGTTCCACAAGATATTGGCAAACATGTAGAAAAAAGGATGGCCAATTGAACACTCTTAATGAAATTTCTAGCTTCACTACAACCACCCAATAAGGCTAAAAAGTACATGGGAAGAAACCTCCTATTGTTTTCTCTAATGGGATTGAACTTAAAATCTCATGGTGTACAATCTACAAGTTGTGCAATGTTAACCTTTGAAGATTTCTTAGTTTCGCTAACAAGATATGAATATAATAATAATTTAATGGTGAGAAGACAATGCATGTATTGTAATATATATTTCTTGAACTCCTCACCTTCCCTCAAAATAAATATAAATATTTTTTTCTTTCATATATACTAAAAGTGTTGTGGAATTTGAAAAGGTAACAAATTGAGAAGGACTTTTAACTACCTTAGAAGTTAATGTCAATGCAACAAATTGGCTAATTAACAAAGCAAGTGTACGTGGCTTTTCTCTTTTATGGATATATAGTGCTTTCATGTTGTTAGAAATCATGAGGTGTGGAAAAGTTGTAGCTTTATGATTACATTCACCTTAATTTGCTATGCCTTTTCACACCGAGTCCATATTAATATCATTACTAAATGAATCTTTAATCTTAAAAGTTTACTAATGTTTTGAGTGTGAACATTAGTAATTGGGTTGCTAGAGGCAACTTTGGCAATGATATTGAGCAAATCGTTCATCTGATTTGCGTATAGTTAATTCAGAGGATCATGTTGTTTGCAATAAATTTTAATGTATGAAATAATAAACTTCAAACCACAAGAAGAAATAAGAAGTAATAAACAATATGGATACAGTTATGTTTCTCCCTTAATTCTTCTCTCCACATTTTCTTTATGTTCCTCTTGATCTATGAATTTTCTTCGTGATTTAATGGTTGAAATATTTGTTTGTTTATATCTTTGATCTCTTTATGAACATCCCAAGAATTTGTGCGATATTTAAGACACCTATTCAAGCAAATATATTATTCTTAGACGTGAAACTAGAATTTGATATAAAGTATTCTTCAAGAACCCTAACTAAATTGAACTCATCTGGTATAATCCGGTATAGTAGAAAATGGACCCAAGGACTAACATTTCAATGTTGCAGGTTCAATGCAAAGGATTTCCTCGAACGTAGTCGAAATGGTCGAATAGTGTTTGCTGGAGATTCAATAGGAAGAAACCAATGGGAGTCAATGATATGTATGTTAGCACAAGGTGTGTCTAACCAATCCACCATATATGAAGAATTTGGAAACCCCATAACCAAACACAGAGGTTATCTCTCTATGAAGTTTCAAGAATACAACCTTACTGTTGAATATTACAGAGTACCTTTCTTAGTAGTCGTTGATCGTCCTCCCGCGAATGCATCGAAAGAAGTGAGGGGAGTGATCAGGCTTGATAAGCTGCATTGGTATTTCACAAAGTGGGTTAATGCAGATGTAATTATATTCAATGCTGGACATTGGTGGAATGAAGATAAAACTATTAACATGTATGAATCTCAAGTGCTTTAGCAATAATCACATATATCTGGATTCTTTTGACCATAAGAACTTCAGCAATCACTAACATAACACAAAATGTATTGCAGGGGCATCCATTTCCAAGAAGGAACAACGGTGAACATGACGATGAATGTAGTGGAAGCTTTTCAAAGATCATTGAGTACTTGGGCGTCATGGGTGATTCAAAATACCAAGCCTGAAAAGAGTCACATCTTCTTCCGTAGCGTTTCACCAGTACACTACAGGTAAGTACTTTGTAGGAACTAATCAGTTGCAACACAAATACACTATACTAAGACTGAATTTGGTGAAATTGATTTGCAGGGATGGAGCTTGGAATGAAGGTGGCCATTGCCACACAAATACAGCACCGGAAACAGACTATACTAAGCTGGAGAAAGAGCCAACCAACAACATATTCATTTCTGAGGTAGTTGAGAAAATGCAAAATACAAGAAGAAACATGACCTTCCTAAACATCACATATCTAAGTGAGTTCAGGAAAGATGGTCACCCTTCAGAATATCGTGAACCTGGCACCCCGGCTGGTGCGCCACAAGACTGCAGCCACTGGTGCCTACCGGGAGTGCCAGACTCTTGGAATGAACTTCTTTACGCCTATCTACTGTTGAATGGATATAAAACCAAGTTGAAATGAATTTGACGGTGGAACTATATGAATAGCTGTTTTCGTATGCTTTAACCTGGGCTATTCATCAGCCTTTTCAGTTGGATTCACCTCAGTTCCCATTTCCTTGACTTTCTCAAGCTGCCTTAGGAGGGCTAATCTGTCTGGTCCATATGTAGAAGGTATCTGCCAAAAAGGAAATCAACCAGTTAACACAGCAGATAGGCTCACTAAAATTGACAGGAAATTCATGATCAAATACACACCAGAGATGGCATATATCTTCGAATTCCAGCCAACATAGCAGCATGCCCAACTGCTGTAACCTGCAAGAAAAATCATCCATGTCAGCTTGCACTGTATCAAACTCCATGAGTAAAAGAGATGCAAAGTGCTGCAACCATATAGCTGGTGTGGAAGGAGAGAGAGAAAGAGCTTGAGCTTTGTTTAAATGGGCTATTTTTCTAATTGCAACAGCTGAAAGACTTCAGCTCAGAAAATGCCTTCAAACTAGTTGATTGAGCATCAACTATGCACCTATTGTTACTAAAAGCTTCACTGCACTTGGTAATATATTATACAAGCTCGAAAAACCATGACGCTCGGGGAATAATCAATGGTTTTTTAGTGCCAGTTGAAGGTCCATGTCTTCACTTACAGTTGATATGCACCTCAAATTCACATACAGATCTTGGACATGCATGACAATGAAATTGTTTAAGAAAAAAGAAAATAAAAATAAGCAGAATGAACTATCTCTGTTATTCAGCCAGTTCTGTGGAGCTTAAATTTTTTTGCCTGATAAGAACAATGGATTAGAACTACTTACAGGGAGAAGCATAAGAAATCCAATAGGTACAACTGATGCCAAGTCAGTTAAAGTTCTCCGCAATGCTTGTTTCTCTTTTTCTGTCAACTCATCCCCTACTATGGACCTCCGAAGTAGCCCTAAAGCTGCAGCAACATCGATAGCGAGAAGCTGAGTTCCTTGCCAAACATCCTGGACATGGAAAATTTATTACTCAATCTGAGTCTTAATAGACAACTAACAATTCTTACGACTAACTGCTCCTGAAGATAATGTGTTGATTCATGGTTTACAATAGAACAGTAAAACATGGAAAACGTATGTAGTATAAACTCTATTTTGAATGCTTATAAGAACAATAAAGAACGGAAAATGAAGATCCGGACAATATGGAGACAGATAATCAAAACACACAAAGTACTACAAAAAGAATGAACAAAATAAGCACTAGCAATAAGAACAGGAATAAACAATTATCTTATAGTAATAAGCCCATGGAGGAACCCAAACCGAATGTGATTCCATCACTACTGATGGAAGTTCTCTTTCTTTGACAATTGGTGGAGTTAAAAGCTAATTAAATGGGTCACATGTCTATCCCCATACCCATTGTATTTTCTGAACGGTAATTCCACAAAAATTGACATATGACGCAATACATAAAACAGAAGAAAATAGATCAAGAGCATAATACCGTGCTAGTTTCTTTCAGTTTGTCTAAGGATTTCTCAATAACACTCTCCTTTTTCTTCTGAAGAACCAATTGAGTTCTTTCAGCTCCTGCAGGATGCGTGGAAGTGCGATCCACCTTCTGACTTTCCTCCTAGAGTAGAATGCATCAACAATAAGCTAATAAATTTTCAGGGATATAATAAACAGATCAATATCTCAGTAACACCACTCTCTGGAAAAATGGAAATATATAGAAAATGAACTCAAAACATATGAAGCTGGGCCATGAATGACCTAGGCTGTGAGCTGGAGGTATAGAAGCAGTATCTATAATTTAAGTTACATAAGAGCACTCCATGCATCAGAAATTTCTTGTCCACAATTCAGAAAGAGATCAAGAGAGGGGATAAAAAAGGCAGATGGATGGCTGTTGATCAAACACCTGAGTCTTGCATAGCTATCTCCAGACTTTGTGCAATCTGTGCATATCAAAGAGTTCTATTGTTTTTTCTTTGTATTGACATTAGGTTTCAAATGTTAAGAGGAGTGTCTGTACAATTAAAATTTACATGTTCAACAGCGTCCTTCAAAAACCACCAACACCCAAACCAAACTCATAATGTGAGAACTGTGGAAAATGCAACCAAGACACTTGATGAATGTGAGATTCTAACAAAAGATGATCACAGAACTATAAAATTAAAACTCCACATAGAACATAAAATAAGAGTACCAATTCTACCTACGCCTTATACAGATTAAACATGGAAGTTTTCTTCGACTTAGAAAAGAATCGAAAGTTGAAGCTCTTACATAAGAGTTTGTCCATTTCTTTTATGGGAATCAACATTAAAAAAACCTCAACACCTGGAAAAATAGGCCATCCCATTATTTAGCATAAATTAAGATGATTATAGTTTTTCCACTGTTCATGTATTATCACAACAGTAGTTACAAATAGACAGGAATAAAGATTATAGACCAACAAACCAGTTTTTAATGAATGTATTTTACTGCTTTGACAAGCAAGATAAACCATGTTCAGCAAGATGGATGGAGTGGACGGATATACGTCCATTAACTACTTATATATCATCATTAGTCGGATAGTTGTCATGATAATCAGCACAGCCTAGAAAGTTTATACTGAAAATGGAAGAGTAGCGTCTCAATAAACATTAACGAACTTCACAATATGAAAGTTGAAAGAGACAAAAAGAAAGCGAAATAAAAGGACAGTGCATCTTACAACATGCTCGACACAGACCATATACAGCAGTTAGAAAATACCTCCTCATACTCATATTGATCAGCACTTCTTTGAACCCGCTTCTCCAGTTCCATTAGCTCACTCCTTAATAGTTCAAACCTTCGAACTTCAGTTGACTTTGAATCCATAACGCCTGTACTCTCTGAAAGTTCTTTAGAGCCATCATCACTCTGCACTTAAAGAATGATTCTCAGTGACTTGGAAGATAAAATCATCTTAACAAATTCATAGAAAGTTGAATTATAGAAGAAGTTGAATAAATGACCAGCCTAAGGAGGAGAAAGCATGTGCAACAGTTACGAGGAAGCAACTTCATTAAGGTGCAAGCAGACTCAAGAGGAGACAGTATGCAGTAAAAGGGGTTACACAAAGGAAGACATGACTGCTTACATTTTCAGGTGAACAGAATCAACCAAATAAAACGATATCTGTTCCTTGCTTAATAAATCTTCATTGAACCATGTTATTACTTGCTTTCCATAAAATTACAAAGGTTTCCAGTGATCAGTGCTTCAGTTTCTGTAACGAGAAATCTAATGACAAATTCAACTGAAGTTTCCAATTGCAAAAATATTTGCCTAGTCAATAGTTGAGCAACATGGAATATCTTTTACACAGACTGAGGTTCAAACCACCCATTTCATTCACCAAACAAAAACCAAAAGCAAGCATTTCTAGCTTCTTGAAGTACTGAAACACAACAGGTGATATACATAACCAAAAGGAGAACTAGCCATGACTAATGAGCTAATCTATCACTTATGGCTGATAACAAGCATTTGAGCGTGTATCTCAACTTTGAATTGTTATTTTTTTTTAATAAAAGGAGGTGTCCAAGACAACTTGCTCGCACCTCGACCATTCCACCGTACTCGCTAACTCCAATATACCAGGTAACTCTGTCCATTAAAGCTTACACATATGGCAAGAAATCACCTAATATATTTTTCTCTCTGCTAGGATTTAACCCTTGGCCCTTGGGTCTTCAAAGTTCGTCCACTTCATTGACCACAAAGCCACACCCTAGGGACATATCTTAACTTTGCATTATTTATAAGTTCCAAGTAAGCCCATTTATTTGTCTAGAGTGAAAGCTAGAGCAATATGAAGTAAAATATAGTTTCTGACCCATCTCAAAGTTGCATGTGGGGGAGAGGAGATACCACTCCATAATATGAAACCGAAGTGTAAAAAAGGCAGATAAATGAATGGTGTTACTTGAGAATAAACTCAAGTTTGGTTCTAGTGAATAAAAGAGCAAAGAGAAGGACAAAATGCTCCCGACCACCAAATTATCAATTTAAGATGTAAAACTAATGAAGATGATGAAAACGGTATATTTAAGAATAAGCACAAAATTTGGCTTTTCTACGGACAGAGCAAAGGAAAGGAATACATTCTCCATCACACACCCACACAACCACAGGAAGAATGTATGCATAGAAGAAAAACTTTTTGTAGAGAAACGGCAGTGCGAGAGAAATTAGAGAAGCGAAACAAGGAAGCAGGTACTTCCTTTTACTTTCACAAAAAAATGAATAAATTGAAACAAACCTATCCAATCACTTTTGCAGATCAAAGAAAGATATTCATCATTTCACTACTTTAAAAGTATTGAGAGCCATAAAACATCACTCCCAATGCACACATAATTGAGAAGCATGTTCAGTGTTCAAAATCTATGGCACTGCATTCATCTATCCATAGAGAAAAAACAGTTATAGTTGGATTCAAGTGACATATCAATGTCATATAACTGCAAATTAGATGATACATGTTGGTCAGAAGCTTTACAATAGTCTTTTAAAGGATAAAACCCCGGAAATGCCTGGAAAATTATACCATAAACTATTAACAGTTTTTTTTGTTCATTACCAAAAACCCTTGGAAACTATATCATACAAACTATTCAACAGCTCCGGAACGTACAAAAGGATGCATAGAGGAGATCATTTGCAATCTAGAAGGAGAACTAAGAGGTGAGAAATAGAGCATGGTTAGCCACTGTTAAGCATATTACATAGTAAAATATTATCAAACTCCCAATAGTTTGAGACCCCAAAAGGCTTTTATCTTAAATTAATCACAACCCCCCAATGAAAGAACCTACTCCCTCCGTCCTAATTACTTGTCCACTTTTCCTTTTATAGTTGTCCCTAATTACTTGTCCATTTACCTATTATACCCTCAATTAAATGACTAATTACTTTGAAAAATGTAGAACTTTTCATCCACTTCATAATTAATAGGGGTAAAATGGTAAACTCACTACGTCATTAA